CCGGTTATGCAGAGTATATATGTGACTGTACGAAATGAAAATGGAAAATAAAAACACATTTACACAGATGTTTTATCCATACGTGTAATGAAATAGGGCTGATTCTAGCATGGACTGAAACGTAGTTTGGGGATGGGGGAAGAGACACTGAAAGAAAACTAGATTGAGAGGGTTTCCTGGGTGATGGCATATGTGGACCAGCTGTGAGGAAGGAAGAAGGAAACGAAGAAACAAACACTGGGAAGATATGGGGCACTAAGTGAAATAAAAAGATTGTTGCGAGACTGGCCAGAACACCAGCTAGTGGGACTTGCCACTCTGGAACTCTATTCCTTATTGCCAAAGACAGTTGCATTAAGGAATAGGTACTCAGGCCAATTTACTAGCCCTGGCAGCTGAGGAGAAGCAAGGAAGAGAATGGGGGGGGGGGCAGGGGGAAACAAGGAAGATACTATTAGATTGCTATTAGCTGATTTGACAAGTTGTCCCAGAGAAAAAGATTGATACTTGGCTTCATTATTATGCATGAGAAAAAACGTGTTTGGGTTGATCTAAAGCAGGAGTGTCAAACTCAAGGCCTGAGGGGGGGGGGGCGAATCCGGCCCGCGGGGTGCTTAGATGTGACCTGCAGGGCTGCCCTGCAAACAGCTAAGGACTGGCCCGCGGTGCCTCTGCAGAGGGTTGTAGGAGGCCATTGCACCAAAAACGGAGCTCACAAGGGCAATGGGCAACCCTCCACAGCTCTGTGTTTGGTGGCAGAAGGTTGCAGGAGGCCATTGCAGCCGAAAACAGAACTGAGGAGCCCATTTTCACTGCGAGCGCTTGGGCCACATATATGACGTCGAGCTGATGACGTCAGCGACGCGGTTGAGTCGGACGCGGTTTAGTCGAGCGCGGTTTTGACGGGTCACGCCAGAAAGCAACTGTTCTACCCAGCTATCCAGCCATTTTCTAAAGACTTTAGCTTTACTTACGTCTCCTTTTAGCGAATCATTTTACTTTTTACTCCAACCTTATCCATTTACCAATCGACCACCCACTCCTAAAAAGAAGCATCATACCTATTATCTCTCGGGCAACTGACCTCAATGCTACCACTGCGTAGGGACTAGTATCAACACGAAGGGGGAGTGAGGTCAGGAAAGTTAAAAAAGTCAAGACGGGCTCTTCGCTTCTGGGTTATAGTGTGGTGTAAGATACCGCAGGGAACCCTAGACTTTTTAGAGACAAACTATGAACAGATTTAATTCAGACTTTGCAGATAACTTTCAGACAAATATTTTTTTCTATATAAAGAAAGAGCAAGAGTTTCCATGTCTATATAAACTGTGCTGTCTGGTTACAGTCAGTTTGAGCGGCAGCAGCAGCAAACAGTGATACCCATTGTCATCAGGGCACTTGGTACCATGTCCAAGTATTTTGCAAAACACAAATAAATTGCAGCTTTCTGCAATAACGCCAGTGGAACGGCAAATAACTACCCTAATAGGAACATCATATATTTTAAGAAGATATTTGGTTGATACCTAGGACGCTGGCAGCAACCCGTATCAACCACGAGCACCAGTCAATTGTTTTTGAGACACATCTTTAAATGTTCACTTGACTGAGTTTCATGTTTAATGAATAAAATAAATAATAAAAAATAATAATTTACTTTAATGAATAATGATAATCATAATCATAATAATGATACTTGGCTGATACCTAGGACGCTGGCAGCAACCCGTATCAACCATTAGCACCAGTCAATGGTATTTGAGACACATCTTTAAATGTTCACTTGACTGAGTTTCATGTTTAATGAATAAAATAAATAATAAAAAATAATAATTTACTTTAATGAATAATGATAATCATAATCATAATAATGATACTTGGCTGATACCTAGGACGCTGGCAGCAACCCGTATCAACCATTAGCACCAGTCAATGGTATTTGAGACACATCTTTAAATGTTCACTTGACTGAGTTTCATGTTTAATGAATAAAATAAATAATAAAAAATAATAATAATTTACTTTAATGAATAATGATAATCATAATAATACCTGGCTGATACCTAGGACGCTGGCAGCAATCCGTATCAACCATTAGCACCAGACAATGATATTTGTGACACATCCTTAAATGTTCACTTGACTGACTTTCATGTTTAATGAATAAAATAAATAATAAAAAATAATAATAATTTACTTTAATGAATAATGATTATCATAATCATAATAATGATACCTGGCTGATACCTAAGACACTGGCAGCAATCCGTATCAACCATTAGCACCAGTCAATTGTATTTGAGACACATCTTTAAATGTTCACTTGACTGAGTTTCATGTTTCATGAAAAATAATAATTATAACAACAACCACCACCCTACTTGGAACAGCTTATATCCTTATATTACCTTAACAGATCCTAGGACCTTGGTTAGGACTCGAGCTGTTGAGCTACCAACC